TAGTTTGTTCTCTATATCTGTAAGTCTGTTTCTGTTTTGTTACATTCATTCATTTTTTTTAATTGGCATATAATTGCTTTACAATGTTGTGTTAGTTTCTGCTGTACAATAAAGTGAATCAGCTATATGTATACATATATCCCCTGCCTCTTGGACCTCCCTCCCCCACCATCCCACCCGTCTAGGTCATCACAGAGCACGGAGCTAACCCCCTGTGCTATACAGCAGATTCCCACTAGCTATCTATTTTACACATGGTAGTGTATTTATGTCAAACCTAATCTTCCATTTCATCCCACCCTCCCCATCACCCCTGTGCCCACACATCCATTCCCTACGTCTGTGTTTCTATTCCTGCCCTGCAAATAGGTTCATCTGAACCATTTTTCTAGATTCCACATATATTTGTTTCATTTTTTAGGTTCCACATATAAGTGATAACATACAGTCTTTGTCTTTCTCTGTCTGACTTATTTCACTAAGCATAATACCCTCCCGTTCCATGTTGTTGCAAATTGCAAGATTTTATTCTTTTTTTTATGGCTGAGTAATATCCCATTTTTTGTACCACATGTTCTTTATCCATTCATCTGTTGACGGACATTTAGGTTGCTTCCATATCTTGGCTACTGTAAGTAATGCTGTTGTGAACATTAGGGTGCGTATAACTTTTAGTATTATCCTCTTCTTCCAATATATACCCAGGAGTGGGATTGGTGGATCATATGGTAGTTCTATTTTTAGTTTTTTGAGGATGCTCCATACTGTTTTCCACAGTGGCTGCATCAATTTACATTCCCACCAACAGTGTAGGAGGGTTCCCTTTTCTTCATATCCTTGCAAAAATTTGTTATTTGTGGTCTTTTTGATGATAACCATTTTGACAGGTGTGAGGTGATAACTCATTGTGGTTTTGATTTGCATTTCTCTGATGATTAGTAATGTTGAGTATCTTTTCATGTGTCTTTTGGCCATCTCTATGTCTTCTCCATGACACTTTTCACAGAACTAGAACAAATACTACTAAAATTTATGTAGAACCACAAAGACCAAGAATAGCCAAACCAATCTTGAGAAAAAAAAAAAAAGCTGGAGGCATCACACTCTTTGACTTCAGATTATACTGTAAAACTACATTCATCAGGCTTCCCTGGTGGCGCAGTGGTTGAGAGTCCACCTGCTGATGCAGGGGACACGGGTTCGTGCCCCGGTCTGGGATGATCCCACATGCCGCAGAGCGGCTAGGCCCGTGAGCCATGGCCACTGAGCCTGCGTGTCGGGAGCCTGTGCTCCACAATGGGAGAGGCCACAACAGTGAGAGGCCCGCGTACAGCAAAAAAAAACCCCCAAACCAAAATACTACAGTCATCAAAACAGTATGGTACTGGCACAAGAACAGACACATAGATCAATGGAACAGAAAAGAGAGCAGAGAAATAAACCCATACACTTATGGTCAATTAATCTATGACAAAGGAGACAAGAATATACAATGGGAAAAGGATAGTCTCTTCAATAAAGACCTAAATGTAGGACTGGAAACCATAAAACTCCTAGAAGAAAACATAGGCAGAACACTCTTTGACACAAATTGTAGCAATATTTTTTTGAATCTGTCTCCTAAGGCAAAGGAAACAAAAGCAAAAATAAACAAATGGGACCTAATTAAACTTAAAAGATTTTGCACAGCAAAGGAAACCATCAACAAAACAAAAGGACAACCTACTGAATGGGAGAAAATATTTGCAAATGATATGACCAATAAGGGGTTAATATCCAAAATATATAAATAGCTCATACAACTCAGTATCAGAAAGACCAAACAACCCAATTAAAAATGGGCAAAAGGCCTGAACAGATATTTTTCCAAAGTTTTTGATTTTTAAATTTCAATTTTCACATGCTAACTCAATAATTGCATCTTTAGTAAATAACTCCAGATCTTTTTTGAAGCAAGCAAAGTAAAGAATGTCCATTTTTAAAAGTCAGAAGACCATGCATGTAAAAACACTTGGAGACTAAAGTACTACACATGTAGCATGACTACTATTATTAACTAAGCAAATAGCCTAGAATAAGTCATTTAAATATTGTGGGTTTTAAACAAACCTTTAAAAATGAGGTGATTAAACCACCTTCTCCAGCACTAATAATACAAGTCCTTCTGTTTTCATAGAAATCTACTTTCTATCTCTGTCAAGTTTGGAGAGTCAGTCATTTTAACAATTCCGAGTATTTCACAAGGCAAATTTGATTTTTATTACTAATAACCCAAAGGCCATTCAGGGAAACAATAGGGCAACTGAAAAAACTTGTTAAAGGTGTGCATTTTTAAAAAGCAATGATACACATTCGAACTATTCATTTCCTCTACATTGTGCATTCTGCAGAACAAATGTACGCAGACAGCCAAGTAAGTTTTGTGCATCAAGTCAAATTTTTGTACAAAGTACAGTTTACATAACCAGAAATCACAAGGTAAGAAAACCAAAACTTTTATCATGACCTGGAAGATTGTGGAGAACCCTACTACATACCTCTTTGAAAAATGTTTCAAGACAAGAAAAAAAAGAAAGAAAAATGTTTCAATGTTTGAAAATGTATAATGTGAAATACAGTCATTGGAAAGTTCAAAAATAGCTTGATAGACCTGTGCTCTAATAGCTTACACATAATCTCAAACAACTGCATGCAGTTTAACTTTGAACATATATAGACTTCCCAGAACAGGAAATTTCATAGGATTAAGTGGAATAGGGGAAGAGAACACCTGTGATGAGAAAAAGACCATCCCATCCACTGTGCGCTTTAAAAGAATGAATTTTATGGTAGGCGAATTAAATCTCAATAATAGAAGGAAAGAAGAAGAAGAAAAAAAAAGAGTCTTCTGGGTGATGTTACATCCCAAGTGATGCTTAAGTGCCCTAAACAGGAGGCCCTGTTCATCACTTCTGGAAACTCCTTTCACTCTCGCCTGTTCTTCTATCTCTACTCTCCCCACTCTGGCCACATGGCATCACGTCATACTGTCATGGACTCTGGACTTCTCATGCACCCCACTGGTCACTGGGCATAAGAAGTTGAACATGATTTTCGGAATCACCCTTCCATTGATTCTGGATACTTCCATCCTCCTCTGCCTCCTCTTCATCTTTTTTAGGGAATTTCAGGGAATTAGGGAATTTGTATTCCACAAAGCTTTGACATACTGGCAAGCTCTCTGAGACAAAAGAAAGAGATTGAACATTTGTCAACTGCTAATAAGTGCCAGGGGCTCGGTGGGGTCCTGAATATCTGTTATTCTATGGATTCTCATGAATACTTGTAAGGTCCAGATTCTTATTCCCATATTCTAGATGAAAACACTGAGGCTCTGAGAGCAGTTTCCACTCAGACATCTGGTGGGTAATCACCCAGATTATCTATTTTGCCTTCGGAAGGCACAGCTTAAAAGCCACTTACTGAATAGAACTAATTCGAGCCAGGGAAATTACTAAAAACTACGCAAAGCTCACAAAAAGTGGCATTGTTTGCTGGTGCATTTGAACACAGTCACACTTAAAGCAATCCCTCAAAGAACATTTTCCATTCTAGGAACAGGATGTTTGTGAAGATTTGCTCTTTTAATAGTACAAAAGAAAGGAAGCAAAAAGACCATTTTTTTTTTCTGCAAATAAAAATAACACACAACTCAGGGGGAAACTAGCCTTATTGCCACTTTGGTGGCTCCTGGGTTTGCCAGAGCAAATGTAATAGCTTTCCACTATTAATTGGGTTTGTTTCAGAGTCCCATCTGCCATCCCTTCCTCCTCTCACCAATAAAACCAAGTGAAGCTAATTTTGGATGCATTTGCCCAGACAAAGATGGAAGAGCTTCAGAATCTAGAGTTCTTGAGTTGTCTTCTGGGGTGGTCCTGGTACTCGAATTTATAAAGTTAATGATCTCTCACTTGCTGCAGCCATTGACTGCTGCATGGCCAATGGTGTACCAGAATTGCTCATGGGTGTTATCTCTTGGTAGACTACCACGCTTGGAGATAGACTGCCTGGCTTTGAATCCCAGCTCCACCTCTTCCTTGCTGTGTGACCTTGTCAAGGTACATGACCGCCCTGTGCCTGTCTCCTTATGTATGAAATGGGGAGGGGAATAGCTCCCATCTCCTAGGGTTGTTGAGAGGGTTCAATGATTTAATACCTGTAAAGCACCGAGAATAGTGCCTAGCATATAGTCTGTGCTATTTAAATTTCTGTTAAATAAATAATCAAAAAAATAAAAAATGTATATTGTTGTTCATTAAATGTTTTTAAGAAATTGCTTTCCTTATACCATTTGTTAACTGATTTGTCCATGGTTACATGAATTAGAATTGCTAAAAATTAACTTGCAGGACCTGATTTGCTTTGCATAAAATCAGCCAGAAACAGAGAAGAAAGAATCAACAAAGATCTCCTTTTGTGGGAAAATGGGTTAAAAATGGTCTCCCAACATTGATGATATTGCCCAAAATGATCGCTGACGGGTTCTGCAGCTGTTCCAAAGACACACACATACTGTTGCCCCAGGCTGATGAAGCAGAAAGAAGAGAAAAATGGCTTTTGCTTTGGACCCCTGCAGAGTGAGAGACTGGACAGGACCACCCACTGCCCCTGTGCCCCTGAAATTCCAACAGAAAAAGACTGGCAGATCTCTTGGCATTTCAAAGAGCCTCCCCTATTTCAGAGAAACAATTTAGGCCATTCCTGATTTCATAGCCTTGTTTCTCTTGGAAGGAAGAAAGAAAGACCGGTTTAAATATGTAGATGTTAAACATTTCCTCGCAAGAAGGACTTTTTTACTTTCTCCATATCATTTCAAGGGGAGGCCAGGTAGTGCTTTGGCATTCCCCAGTGGCACCTTGTACAGGTCCAAGGACCTCTGGACACTGCCGTGTCACAGTCCTGGAAGGCATAAATCATCTTGTAGGGACAGCTGGTTTCCTCTGGAAAAAGATCAAGCTTACCCAAATAGTTGTTGCTCTTGTACATCTCGGTGATGTTGATTTTTGTGGCTCCTTGAGGAATCTCAACAACTCGGTGGTAGCCCAGGCTGGTGAGGGCATGCTTAAACACGCCCGACACAACCTGACAGCCCGTGTTATCGCCTCCGCACACCCCGCATTTGTCCACGACTTTGTCGGAGCCTAGGTAGTCATCACAGCCAATGCTCTGCAAAGAGGTGGAAAACAAGAGACTCTTGTAGCATATGTCAGGAGCATCCCAGGGAGGAAGGGGAGAGGGAATGACTGAAGATCTGTTGGTGGGTCTCGACCTGAACTTCCTCCTTGCCCCCATCCAGATTCTGTAGATAAGCAAGTTCATTCTTCCCTTGGCTCAACGGATTTCCACTGAGCACCTACTCTGGGCAAGGAACTTCCTTCCTAGGTTATGTGTGAAATGTGCATTCTAGGGGTGAAGCGGAAGCCACATCAGTAAATAAGTAAGTAAAACAAGCACCCTTGGTAATCAGGAGAAAAATAACACAGAGAAAATACATAAGGAGGGTGTGGGGACTGGATATTTATTAAACAGGTTGGATAGTGAAGTTGTCCTGAAAATCCATCCCCCTGTTGGAAGTTTTCTGGGACTTAAAACTGGAGTTTGTCCTCAAGTCTTCTGTCCTAAATGACAGATGATACAAACACTTAGCCAAGTACCCCCAACAGTAGTGTTCTCAGGCCCTGTTTCTTAGGAAATTAAATCAAATTGGTTGAGGTCTGGGTCCCCACTGGTCACTGTGACTCTGAAAAGCTGAGCCGTTGGGACTTTTGCTTGGCTCGTCTAAAGCATTTCTCCCAGGGCAGAAGGGTACAGGGAAGCAAGGACCAGAAACATCGGCAAACGGGATGATATACATCTAAATAATGGGATACATCAGAGTTTAAAGGAACTCTGACCTTCCTGCATTTCCTCCCCAGTGAATCTTCTCATTATTCATCCCAAGATCTTTTTGCTTTATCTTCCCCCTCCCTATTCGTGTGTTTCTTAGGCAATTTAACCTTAGGACCAAATGGAATGGTCTTCACAGAATCCTTTTGCATGTCTGCAGCTGAGTCCCTAGGACTCACATTCGTGTATCCTGAATTTAAAGTTGGGACATGTGGTCTGAACAGAGAAGATTCTGTCACACTTCTGTTGGCAGATAGAAGTGAGCTGATTATAGTTTGGACAATGAAATATCGGGATGACAGGATTATTTCACTGGTTTACGGGGATAGGAAATGATACTTGAAATCAGAATGGTATTTTACAACTTGAGACACATGTCTGCTGAATCAGAGGTTTGTGTTGGTTCTGGAATTCTAAGAGCAATCGTCAGACCCCACCTCAGGGGCAAAGTGCTCAGCAAACCATTCAAAGTCCACTTTTGATTTTGTTAAACAATCCTGGGTCTGTTCATGTGGGTCCTACAGGCCAAATCCTACAGGCAGAGTCAGATCAAAAGGTTTTCATTCTTTCCCCTCCGACTTCTTGTTTGACTGACATCTTTCTGCAGGCACTGTACATCTGCATTATTATTTCCATATTCCTGAGTGCACATTAGTTCATCGACAATAACTGGTCTCTCTTCACAAATAGCTTCTCTGTAAAACATTATTTCTGACAATAACAGAACATCATCTCAACATGTTCCTCCACATCCAATTAGCTTTTCAAAGTGCCACGTTTGCTATGAATTTCTCCTCCCTCAAATATTTCTTGCCCTTGCCCTGCGCACGTTTTAGCAGAAAAATAAGGAAAACGCCTTCTGTGCATGGTTTCTAGCCCGCACCCCTGCTCCGGGTTCTCCTTTGCTTTGAAACAAACAAACAAAAAGGCCACCATCAGCAGAAGTTTGGGAAAGTAGATCCCACGTTGCTAAAGAAAGATTCTAACTGAATGGAGATGCCTCTGATTCTCACTGAAGGGGAAGATGAACAGAAAAGCTGATAGCACTCACACCCTGCCCCGTCTAGCAGAATCTTAACTTCTTCCCTTCCCCACTACATGATCCATTCTTGCTACCCCTGGCCTCAACTTAACCCAGATGGAGCTCATTCCCTTGGGGCACTCCAGGTAAAGGCAACAATGTGTACCAAGGCACAGAAGTAGGAAAGAACACTGAGGAAGTAGGAAAGCATGCTCATAGACAGACACGCTTGAAGTGTAGGTTTGCTGCTAAGGATGAAAGGAGGCTGGAGAATTTAGCTGAATCCGTTAAGGATCTTGTTTGCCAGGGTGAAGAATAGGAGTTTTATTCTATCATATCAACAACCACTGAAGAAGGCGGGGGCCATCCTCAGATTTGTTTTTCAGGTGATAACTTTAGCTGTAGTGAGGAGTGGGTCTCAGAGAGGGGAGAGCAGGCAGTCCAGTGAGTCTTTCTCTTGTCAGTGGGGTGTATGGGATATTTCACGAATGAACAAGAACCTCCGAAGACAGGGACTGACTTTGCATGAATCCTCAGCCCGCAGCCCAGTTAGAATGGGATGAGATCACAAGGAAATTACACAGACGTGGATTGCTTCAGACAACCACACACACAGACAAGATAACATTTTATCTTGGAAATAGACACTATATTAAAATGCTCTGCACATTCCAATGGATCCCACACCAGATTTCCTGCACCACACTGCCACTCAGGATGAATCTAGACAATGGGGAGGGAGGGCTGCAGCCGTTCTTCCTGGTAGATGTCTAAGAGCCTGGAGGTTGGCTTCAAGGACGCATATGGCTGCACAAGTGACGCCAAGAACTGAAGGTAACATCCTGCCTCCTCAAAGCCCATCTCTGGACTCTGAGCATCCAGGGTTCACTCCTTAAGAGAGAAGTCAGAACAAGGAGTGTGTGGACCTTCCTTGAGGGGTGACAAAAGGCTAACAGAGCACCCTTCTAGTGTTCTAGTGCCTAGCCAGGGTCTTCGAGAGGCTCAGTTGCTATGGAGTTGCTCAATGTCCCACATGCAGTTCGCAAAGCAGGAGGGACAACCCCATAACGCAAACTGGGCAGATGACGTGCTTTCAAGACCTTTATTTTTAGCACTGAGGGCATAGGTAAATTACATATCTGACAACTGTCCCTTCTCTGGCATGGGGCTATTATGAAGATCAGATGATATAATGAGGGAAAATTTGGACTTGGAGTCCAGGCAGGGAGGGCATGGCTAAGGAAGTGACCTTTGGGCTAGAATCTGAAGCCCAAGAAGGATCAACCATGGCAAGATCTAAACACGTAAACGCACATTTTATCACTAATGTTGTCGAGTGACTGCACTGGGCAAAATCTGGGAAATCCCAGGCTGACTCTGACACGGGTCCTGACTCTGGGAATTTGAATCCCAGATTAGACACACATGCAGAAAATCACACGCTATTGGGCAACGAGGAGTCCCTGCATTCTCTATGTCATGCTGGGCCAGATCAATTCTCTTTTAGAAAGCTGATAATTAACAATGGGGTGCATAAGTCTGCAGAATGTGGCAAGAGCCCAGTCTGAACTAGGGGAATGATGATGGCATGAAGAGGATTTGAAAGATGCTTAGGAAGCAAAACGGACAGGCCTTTGTGAGGTAGAAGGGAACTCAAATGATTATCTTCCTCCTACCCCCCCTCAGCATCATCAAACCTAACATTTACAGCCTTTGTCATATTCCAGGTCCTCTGAATATGTAGTTTTCTCATTTAATCTAAAAGCAATCTGTGCTATTGCTGAAAAACTAGGAAACTAAGACTTCAGAGAGAGGTTAGGTAACTGGCCTAAGGCTATGCTGCTAATAAGAGGTGGGGCTGGATTTGACCACAAATCCCATTTTTGTAACCATTATGCAAAAACTGCCCCCCTCCAAAGGATCAGAGGTCACACTGAAGGTTCTAGCTTTGTCGAAGGAGAGGATGGTGGCTGTGACCTAGGCGCAGAGGAGCAAGTTCAAAGCACTGTTACTGTAGTGACTGTGAGAGCTTGGTCCAGAAGTGACTCTGGCATTCTCCTCTTCCAGCATTATGAAGCACCAAGCACATTTTGTATCTCTCTCACGTTGCCTGTTTTACCATTATACACACAGGAAGTGAATAAATATTTTAGCTCATCTTTCCATCACATTACTGTCACATAACTTTCTCACTGTTATAACTTATAATTTTGAGATAGTTTAAGACTCACAAGAAGTTACAAAAACAGTACAGAGCATTTCAGTGACCCATCACCCAGGCTCCTCCAATGACAGTATCTCACATTAGCACAGCATGTTGTCAAAACCATGCGTATCATGGACATCAGTATAACATATTAACTCAAGGATAAACCTTATTTGGATTTTGCCATTTTTTACCTGCACTTTCTCTTGGTGTATAGGTCTATACAATTTTATCACATCTATAGCTTCATGTGCTTTGTTGCTTTCTTTAAAGCAGCCGGTATTCTCCTCTAAAACATGGAGGTAGAAGTTGATAAGTGGAGCTGACGTCATTTAGCAGGAAAAGCAGTTCGGCACGAGGGAAAGAATGTTGCACTGGGAATCAGGAAACCCGGAGCATAGTCCTGGCTCAGTCCCTGACTTATGTGTGGTGCTGGGTGGCTTGCTTCTCTCTGGGCTTGGTGCCGAAAACATTTCCACCACCATCCAGATCTTTCAGGGGACGGTGCTCAGAAATGAATCTGACCTGAATTCTGGTTTGCAGATCAGAAGTCTGGTCAACTGGTCTCTGATGGGGTTGACTTAACAGTGCTGGTCTGTGTCTCTAAACTCTTTCAGAGGCACCACCAAAGTGCTGTTGATCAGCCATTCTGAGCCTCAGTTGATCTGTGGCTGGGGCGGTACCTCATAGCACTATTGGGAGGATCAGCTGAGGTAAACACAGAAGGCATTTAGCAGGATGCTGGATAGAGTGGCTTCTCAGGCAACTCTGGGCTTATCATTGTCTTCATAGACTTGATTTCAGCTGGAATCTATCCATTTTAAAGTAAACCCCATCCTTATATAAGTGTTCAGACTCACTCTTATTTCTATAGCACTTTCTATTACTTCTCAGTTGCAGATATTCTCTTCTTCATTTGGAGAAATTCAGAAAAGCGTGAAGTGCTAAGAAAGGGCCAAGTTCTCCATAAAGGTAAGACAGCTTACATGGCTCCTTTGCACCCTTACTTCTCCAATAGCATTGAGTGATAAAGGACAGGACAAACATCTGGTC